GTAAAAACATTTGAACTCATAATGTTTCCCAAATCAGCTAAATCCATTATTTCACCTGTGCCAGTTACTATATTTGTAGGGCAGTAAACAGTGGCCTTTATTGTTTGCTGCTCATGGGGCTGTGCATAAGAACGAGCTTAGTCTGTCTCCAGAGATATACACCTACCTTGCAGGCACCAGAAATATTATACCAGCTTAAATCAGTGCAAGCTTTCCATGCTGTCACTGCCTCCCCTGTTTTGATTTGGTGACGGTAATCTCTATTCACTGCTGTGCTGATACACTTCGAGTCAAGGCCCCTTCTCCACTTCTGTTGTTTCTGGAAGAAAAATTAACAAGTGCAGCTTAGGCATGTTATGAACAGTTAGCAAATTTCCACACCTAGGAGGGTATGTGGGCTCAGATATCTGATTTTCTTTGCAAGCAGATGGAGAGGTGAAAATCCTTATGCAGGCTTGTCATATCCTTATCTCAAACCCTCCAGAAAAGTAGGCAAATGGAGGTGAGATGGTGAATTATCCACACATCAAGTAACTTAGCTCTTCTCACAGGCAGTGAAATTTGCTTAGAAAACCCAGGAGAGAGGAATAACCCGGGTGGATGTGGATTATGGCAGTTTCAGCAAATGAGCTACACATAGGTGTGAGAGCAGAGCCATCCCAAGGTGCTGGTGGAGTAAAGGCAGTAGGGGCCCTGAGATCACATCTGCACTGCTCTCTGGGGCACAGGGCTTTGGGGAATGCACCTCATGACCTCCTACCTCAGGCATTTAATGATGCCTTCTCATCATCAACTCCCTTTCTGTCATGCAATCCTTTCCTCTTCCTCTTCTTTCACTCCTTGAATTTGCCATTTAATACCATCTCTGGGGCTAATTTTGCAACTGTTTAAATGGTATAGGACTATTAGGAAAGGAATTAACACATTCTGATGAGATTTAGGAAGTGGAAATAGCCATGTAAACTGCAGATCCATAAGGAGCTTGTGAGTCTCAATTTGAAAACCATTTGATGCAAGCACAGCCCAGGCCATTTCTCAACAAGAGCTCCTAGAAAGTCTCTTTATTCAAGTGACTGAGGCTCTTCCAAGGAACAGGAGAACATAAGTTATCTTTCTGCCGTTCTTTGGCAGTTATAGAGAGGCGTGACTGGCTGCCTAATGATATTTTCCATATTGTTTATCTTTTCTTCCCTTTGAGTGCCACATGGTCTATCATTCCCTCAGCTCAGATATAGGCCCCAAGGGGACTTAGTCCACAAATAAAACACGGAGCTAAGCAATAGTGATTAAAACCCCAAATGTTTTAGACATACTGCTATTGTTGGTAATACTGCTTTCAAATTATTTCCCTCCTCTCTGTGTCCCCTCTTGGAGGCTTGTTATGAGCTCCATGATGACACTTGTCATCCAGCTGAGCTAACACAAGATGAATGGAGGTGTCCTGCTACAAATCATATAGCCAAAAAATGTTTTGTAAAGCTAACCCCAGCTATAATAAAAAAAATTTCTTTCTCTTGTGTTCCTATGAAGATCTTAAATTCTTCATGCCATATGTTTCCAGGTCCTGTCAGTGGACAGATAGTAGTTTGTATCATTTTCTGTTTTCACTTTGTATTTCTCAGGTGCTAACACAACTTGAAAGACTTAATCATTTTCAATTTCACGCCCTTGCAAAAGGATTGTGATTGTTGTGAGTTCCCCCGCCCACTCTGGGCACTTTTTTAGTTTTTCAATCTGTTTTTTCACATGAACTTTGCTTATGTGGCCATGCTGCTTTTCAGTCTGGCTGCAAGTCCCTTTCCAAGAGCTTTTGAACCTGCTTGATTAATTTTGCTCAAATTTGATGGAAGGACAGAAAGGCAGAATTCTCAGAAACAATTATTCTCTTACAAGATCTGTTAATACAGATATTATGATAGAGGAGTGAGAACTAAATTAATGCCCTGACTGAGCAAACATTATTGTTTCTCTTGGCAGCTGGTACTCGCTGGCCCACCTGCACCTACTGCTTGTTGCTTTGTAAGGATGCTGTCCATGGAGTGGGAAGGAGACAAAATTAATGTAGTGGGGGTGGAGATGGGCTGAGGGGCACAGGGAGTATATCAGTTGGGAATCAGGCCTTGCTGCTTCAAGCTGACCCCACAGGAATTGTTTTGTGGCTAAATTAAATCGATATTGTTTTATTTCAAGCACGTGGAAAGCTTGACTTCAGCATCAAATGGCATTATTTTTGTGGATGTAAAGCCAGTACCTTAATATTATTTTAACAAAGCCTTCTGAAATGCACATACATTTCCAGTCAGCCAGATTCTTCCTTTTTGCTGAATACTGAACATTCTTTTCTTCCCCTCACTGTTGTCTTTGGCTGTAGAAATTGTACTTTCCACTTTCACAAAAACTGTAGGGGCATTATGAATGCCTGTGTTTTTCTTGAGCAGACTTTTTGCTTTCTAACAAAATGCCTACACTAACTCACTTCACACAAGTTCAGCTTTCAGCGTCTGTGTGTAAAGCACAAGGTGCTTATCTACTTTGCCTATGTAGTTGCAACTGAAAATTAAATTTGCCTTTGTATTTTCTACTAGAGTGCTATGGTGAATGCTTGAAAAGCTGTCATGTCCTTCTTCAGCTGCCTGCATGTCCATGTGATAGACAAAGAGATTTATCTCCAAATGGTACAAAATTGCTCTGGGGTTCTTAAGGAAAACAGGAACATCATTTCTCATTATTGTTTGTCTTACCAATTTGTCTTCTCCACAGTTTTAAGTAAAATATCTTAACCGAAAGGTTATACAGCGAGGTGTTGGCATTGTAGGGAGTGCTGTATAATGTTTCACATTTTCTAATCAAATTACAGACTTTGATTATCATCTCCTGACAGCATTCTCAGCAAGAAGAAAATATCATTATTCTTATTATGCTGATAGGAAAGTGAGATGATTTATCCAGAGTCACCCTGGAAGTGGCAGAGAGTGGGCTGCAGTAAGATTCTGGTCTACATTTTGGTGCGTGGAGTGCCAAGCCTCCTTACTTAGCTACTTAGAACATCTTTCTCAGTATTTTATTAACCCATTTTAGCGTGTATTTCTTTCATGCAGAGAGCTTCAACCCAAGAGGCAATTAGCCATATGCATTTTTGCCCAGTTTATCAAACTAATGAAAGAGCCGTGACTGCCCTATGGTACAAATTCCAAAAGCCATATACAGACACGACTGCAGTTTCACCCCTCTCACCTTCCTACACTACAGCAGTATAAAATTTGGGGACAGCTTTCCATTCTGCATTACAGGTTTGCACCAGGAATTTCTGCAGATATTGCAGATGCTATCAATGCCCTGTTTCTGTTTGAAGTTTTGAGGCTGCCCAGGAGCCTGGCCACAAGTCTGTGGCTGACACCCCATGGCACATGTTACTTTTGGGGACATTCTGCTGATGCTATGTCTTTCATGCTAAGTTATTACTATTTAAAATTCAGCAGTTTGCCTTACTCATGTCCTTATTCTCAGGAGGCACCAGTGATGAATCATTTCACCTGGCTTTAACCATGTCATCAGCCAGAGTGACCTCAAGGTGAGCCATTTCAGCTCTCCATGTGCTGGGCTGTTTTAGACATCCAGTTTTTGGAGCTACCTAGAGAAGGGAATCTTGGTGACTAAGTCTGACTAAACGCCTGTTTCCTGGTTAGCACAAGTCAGCTGAGGTGAATCACACAACAAAGAGCCTCCCGACACAGAGGCAGAGCGCTCCAACACAGAGCTGCCTTTATCTCTTCAGCTAAAGCATTTCGAAGGATTTGGGCTGCTATTGTTGATTTTACATAAGACCCTGTACATTCTGGGTTTGAGATTGCACAAGGTCTTTGGAAAGTCCATTCCAGTGCTTGACTGCTCTAATTTTGAAGAATTCCTTCCTATTAACTAATTAGGATTTCTCCTGCTGCATCGTGGGACCAGTGCCTCTCATCTGCTTGCTGTGCACCTCGGGGAAGAGTCTGGCTTCACTTTTTCAGTTACCTCCCACCAGGTGTAGACAACACCTAAGTCCCCACCTTAGCTCCTGCTTCTCCAGGCTGAATGAACAAATGAGAGCTCTCAAAAAGTGAAGACAGCAGAATTTCCAACATTTTAATGACTTTTTAACGAAGAAATTCCCCAAAGGCTCATTCACTTTTAAATTTTTTTTTAAATTTCAAGTACTGACCAAATTGATGACTGATTCTCAAGTCCACAAAGGTACTCTCTAAGGCAGTAAATTCTCACTAGATCATTGTAGCCGAAGAGACAACGTGTCCTCAAAACCAGCTGCAGTGGGAAAGAAGGATCCCAGAGGGGGAGTGGCTATGGGAGGGCACATCCCTAAGTGGGTATGGGGTCAGGCTTTGCCCTGGCACTTGTACTTTGCAGGAGTTTTGCAGAGGAACGTGTTCATCTGTGGACATGGAATTGATGTGGAATCAGAAAGAGAGCCCAGGTTGCTTTGGTCCTCTCCCAGCAGCTCTTGTCAGCCGGGCATGGGTGAAACTTTGGTTTCACACAAACATAAAACTTTATTTGAAACCTCCTGGAGTTTCCCTTCTTGGACTGGCGGTTTCACCAGGTTTGTTTACCTTACAAAAACATACATGTGGAAAGAGTATAAAGAGGTTAACTCCATCAACAGTGAGCGAGGCAAAGGCGGTGCAATAAAACCTGAAAATACTGCCTGTTTCGGGGAAACTTAAGAGAAACCATCTTCTCACAGCAGTGGAAATCACGCCACGGTCGCTTTCCACTACTCCCCCGGCGCACAGGCTGTTTAATGAGAAATTCCGCAGCGAAGCAGCAGTCCGGTTTCCCCGTGGCGCAGCGCTGCGGGCAGGTGGATCCCGACCCCGGTCCCGATCCCGGTCCCTTGCGGGCCCATCCCGCATTACCCCGCGCCCTCCCTGGGCGGGGCCGCGGCCGCTCCGCGCGGTGCCTTTAAGGGGCCCGGCGGCGGCGCTGCCATGGCAACGCGTGCCCGCCGTGCCGGAAGTGAGCGGGGTCAGAGGCCGCGGGAACATGGCGGCGGCCCTGGCGCCCGCGGGCGGCGGCGGCGGCGGCGGCGCGGCGGCTCCGTGAGCTCCTCCCGCCGCGCTGCCCCGTCAGCTCCTCCCGCCGCCGCGCTGCCCCGGCCCAGGTGAGGGAGGGGCGGACGGAGGGGAGGGCGGGCCGCGGTGCTGGCGGTGGCAGCGGCGCCAGCGCTCCGCAGCCGCCCCGGCCTCGCCGGGTCGTTGTCGCCCGCCGGGCTCTGAGCCGCCTCCCGTTTGTCCCCAGGCATGGTCGCCGCGCTGTAGGAGGGCCGGGAGCCGCGGCGATGGAGGAGAGCGCTTGAGCTTGTCTGCGGAGGCGGTCCGTGTGTGTGAGACGTGTACGGTACCCGAAAGCTCAGTTTCAGTGCTGCTGGTTTTGTTGCACCTGGAGGAATAAATAACCGGAGGCCTGTTGTTATAATCTCATCCTTAGTATCTTTCCTTTTGGGGAGCAAACTGAGTGTCTTGTTTTGGTTTGTGCATACACAGAAACCAGTCAGTTTGTTTTTTTTTTTTTTTTTTCCAGCTGTAACTGTGTGGTTTTCCTTGGTTATTGTGTCTGTTGTCACTTTTCCCGTTTGTACTGGCATGTGTGCTGCCGTCTGGGCTGGATGTGCCCTCTGGCAAAGCTAAACTTTGACCTGAATGGTCTCTTGTGCAGTAAATGCAGGGTGAGTGCTGCAACAAGGCTCGTAGCTTTGCACAGCCGGGCTGTTCAGCACATAGCTGTGGCTGCAGGAAGCTGCCCACCAAAAATAAATGCTGGAGTTAAACTGGGCGTGCAGCTTCACACTGCTGCTTGTGTGCATTCATTGCAATACGGTTTTTGGTCACTGGACTTCTTTAATCTCTGCTTATGTTAGTGCGTGGAGTGGGCTGCATTAATGGGTGATGGATTTTACTTACTGATTAAAGGCATCACCATATCTCACTTACTACATATCAGCTGTGTGTTCTGTTCAAGACACAACCCAGCCTCTACTTTTGGACTTTTCAGGTGTCCATAGTATGGTAATCTTTTAATGTTTGTCAAGGATGAATTTATTCCACTGTAAACCAGAGATTAATAGATAGCCCCCATCTCCCCCCCCCCCCCCCCATCCTGCTTCTTACTCAACAAATGGGGAAACTAGGATTTTAAAAAAGCCAAAATATATCTTAAATTGAACACAGAAATCTAAAATGAATTTGTGGACTTCACAATCATGTTTTACAGTATTATCTAACAGTCTGAATGCAGAGCTGCAGTGGAAGCTGTACCTCAGCAAATCAAGGTCCCCTTTACCAGTGTGAATTCATAGTTTGGTCAGTGTGTGGGCTGCAGCTGAAGAGTGTGGTCTCACTCCTTTCCATCGCTGGCCATGGATTCTTGTTACTCTCTTTGTAGTGGATTTAGTGGTTGGATGATTTCAGGGACAGTTGATCTAACAGTTTTATGGGGATGGAAGTTATTCCTGTGAGTGCTTGCTCTGATATGAATGGAAGCTGTTTCTCCTTCTGCTAATGTAACCCAGCTGTGGGTCAACCATAATGTGAAACTGTACCTTGAGAAACCAAATCTCAAATTGATCATTCAGAAAATCAGAACTACACCTCAAACTTCTGAAAAGTTTCAATTAAAAAAAAAAAATCAGCCATGTGTAGGCAATATGTGGTAAGACTGAAGAGAGAATAAGCCTGTGAAGGAACTTTCCCATCTTCTGAGGGTTTTTTCTCTGTTCACTGCTTGCCAAAGTGTTTCTGTGCTGAAAGAGGGAAGTCACTTACAAACCTTTATTTAGACCTCAAGGGCTGGTCCACCATGTGTACTCAGACAGAATCTTGAAGGAAAGATAATCTTGTACCCTACGAGTGAAAGCCAGCCTGAGATTCTGCAGGGAAACCTCGATTCTAATATGCTCCAGCTCCTCAGTCTCAATGAGTTTTGCTTTCATGGTGTTGCCTGCCCTCCCCAAAAAAGCAATCTGGAAAGAAGATTGGAAGTGGAATGAGGTATCATCTTCACACCCACCTGGGGTTTTAGCAGTGTTAGGTTTTGCTGGATCACATAACCCTTTCTCCAGTTGCTCATGTGGGAAACTCCCACATGTTTCATCTGGTCCTGCAGTCTCCCCTCCTTCAGCAGCTATTTTTAGTAAAGCCAGATTTTTAATTCTTAGATTCTTAATCTGAACTGCCATAGGTGCAAATCCTCTTGTCCTTCTGCTTGCTTTCTACCTGATTCTGTCCAAGAGTTTTCCCCATAGAGTTTCTTTCTCTTAATTTTTGTTTGGACAATCTTTTGTATGTCTTTTCTTTCCTGCCACTTGTCCCATCCTTTAGTGTGCTGCTACCCATTACTCTTCCCAACTCTGTTTTGCCAAATCACTTTTTTTTTTTTTTTTTTAAGTTTTGCTGACGACTTCTTCCAGCTTCTTGGGATGTGCAGAGTCTTTGTCTCAATTGATGCTTTCTTCCCACCTCATCATTGTTTACAAATAATTGTGCTTTCCTCTGTCCTTCTTTTCTTATTTCATTCTCCTCTTCTCCACTTGCAGTTTGTTCAAGGTTGTCCCTTCCTTGTTCCCTAGTTTCTTCAGGTTGTGGTGCTGGGAACACACAGACATGAGGCTCTGAGCCCCACAGTCTGGTTAAATGTTTTCTTGGCAGTGACCTGAGGAGAGCTGGCTTGTTTGTGTCGTGTGTGTGGTGCTTGGTCAGCACTTAGGGCTAAGAGAGGGGGAGATGGAACTTTTGGAGAGTTGAATTTTTGGAAGGGGTCTTTGCTGACTGTGGGCAAAGGCTCACAGTTTGATTTTACTATTTGTTGCCTTGGCCTGACTAGTAAATTGCTCCTGAAAGACAATTCTGCATTGTGAATTGTCCAATTTTTTGCTATAGCAGGGTACAGTGAGATGTGATAGTGCTATGTTAGCAGAATTCTTCAAACATGCCCAAAATGTCTCTTCATGTTCCTATTTTTTTTCCTCTTAGGTGAGCTGTTTACTTGTGAACTTGATCTTGTTTTAATACAATAAATGTAATTTGCCTAATTACATTTTGTTTGTATTAGAGTTCTTGTATGCTTAGGGGTTAAAAACTGGGAGAGCCTTTACGTGTCTGTGCAAAATTAGTATCTTCAGTGGGTTCACACACTATCCTTTCATGAGTTTGAGGAAATTAATTTGCCTTTTATCTGATAATAGGCTTAAGGTGGTTTCCCTTTGAGAACAGAACTGCTTTTTTTCACCTTGCTTTTCCAAGATTTTGCATGTGTGATAGTAAAGCTCCCCTGACTCTTGAGGATCTTGTTTCAGGCATCCTTCGGTATAAAACCTCCTGTTGATGTTATTTTAGGTATCAAGGGAGCAGGTATTGCTTTCATTCCAGTGTTTCTGAAGGATATTTCTTAATCTCATGTGCTATTTCATTGAGTTTATGATGGTTTTATTATTTTTAAGGCATTCAGCATCTCTTAGTGTTGAGAGAAATTGATCTCTATTTGCTCTTCTCCTGTGATGGCAGCTCCAGAGGTGCCATGAAGGCTAGATGAAGACTGCCTCAAGAGTCTGTATGAAGCAGTTATGCAGATCACTTCACACTACTGGTAGAAAGAGAATTAATTTTTGCTGAAAAGCTTCTCTTGTCCTTTATAAAATTAATGTTTGAATGATGGTAGTCCTGTGAGCTGCTGTGTCCCCAGACATGCTCCTTACAGTTCCTGTGTGTTTTCATATATAAATGACAGGTTGTTTTGTACTCCTTTCACCAAATCAGTGAAACAACATACTGGGCTGTAGTCAGAAGAGTCGAAAGATAACTGAACACTCAGGCTTTCAAAGGAGACCCAGCAATAGAACATAACCAAGTCATTAATTTTATCTTTCTAAATCAAAGACAGACAATAAAAGCAGTGCAGGTACTGACAAGTACATGCCATCATGATTTTGAAACAAGAATGGAGCTACTTTGAATTTCTTGCAATCCTGCTAATTGCATCAAACTGTTAATGATTGTTGCAGATCAAGATTTAACTTACTTTTCAAAGTAACTGGAATTTACAGTGGTTATACGTGAAATGGACAAACAGACCTGGGGTGAGGGTGTGATTATATTTAATTTTTGTTTCCTTTTAACTTTCACATGGTCAAATATGATAATGAACCCATGCAGATATGAATGTTAATGATGAAGTAACAGAACATATGTTCTGTGACCCTTTGAATCTATTTGAAGACTCTCTCTGGTGTTTGAAGGTAAAAATGTTGCTCTCTTGCTACACATGAGAGCTTGGTTGAAATGCCTCCCGATGCAGGGCTGACCATCCTCTGTTCAGCTTGAGCAGCTCTTGGAGAGACAGAAACAACAGAGAGAGATTCCAAGCTTTTTTTTTTTTTTTTTTTTTTTTTTTTTCCCTCAAAGAAAATTCTTGAAGTAATTAATTCCACATCACTTGGTAATTCTGCTCTTAGATTTCATTATGGTTACTCCTATCTAGTGTTGGTATTGATGTTTAACATTGATTTCTTCTGTCTTCACACAAACAGCCTACATTTGTTCAGACTGAGTATTAGCATTATGTGTTTGAATTCAGAAGATAATTGCATATCTTGCAAATTACCCAATGTCTGTTTCATCTTGAAACATTTAGAAATCCATTTCAGTTTCTCATAATTATAGTGTTTTAGTCAGACAGCAATCTAAACTTAGGACTGCACTTTGGCAGTGATATGCTTGTTTTTCTAAAATGAGCACAGTTTTTGTGGTTTAATTTTCCTTTCATTTAAGTATAGATTTTAATCAGTGTAGGCCAAACTTTTCCAACCATCTTTAAAATTAGCTCAAGACATATTTTAAAAATTATGTTCTCCTAATGGGACTTAACTTACATAGAAAAATGTATGCAAGAATTAATGTTTTAAAGCTGATTAATATTTTTCACGCGTTTTTACAACTTGTTTATAGACAGCCTCAGATAGGATACTGGTAGTCTCTGTAATAAATACCACTGAAAGCACTTCATGCTGTATTTCTCAAATTTGAAAGGTAGCTGTTCAGAAAGAAACGGTAAATTCCATTCATCAGGCAAGTAAATTAAAACATCAAAACACAGTAAAATGCCTCTGTTTTCCCACACTTCTCTGCAAGCAGTGTGTGAAGTTTTGGAGATTACTGAAGTTTTTATTGGTTGTCTTGTATGTCCTTGGGCAGGATATAGTTACCATTTGCAGTTGGCAAGTTAAAGCTGTAAACAGATGTATAGCAAGTGTAAAGCTCTGGCTAGATGATATTTGGCATTTTATATATTCCCACGCAGAAGTGGGAAGGAATCCAAATTGCATCTGTCAGGTAACTATTACAACCTTCTGTGTTGCTGCTAAACATTTGCTTGTTTCAGTTTCTAGAGAAGTGCTAGAAGAACCCTCAAGTAAAAAGACCCCAATAACCGTTCCCAATCTTGTATCACTGTTTTTTACTCAAATGCAGATAAAAAGGTCTTGGCTATACTGAGAAAGTTTTCCCGCTGGCAGTGTTCAGAGATCAAGGGAGTCAATCTTCAGCAGACTTCTCTTCAGATAGACCATTTCCTCTGATCACAGGTAGAGTGAATTCCTTTCCCTAAGTTTGAGGAGAAATGTAAGAAAATTATGAGTCCTCTGGATTTCCATTTTGTGTTTTTATATGGAATGTGCTGGTTAGTTTTGATAAACTTTCTCTAGTGAAAATAATGTCAAAAAATTCTGTCCTAGTTTGGACATGGAATTGTGAGAAAGCTCATTCGGTTTTTTAGACACTTTATTTTGTTATTCAGATGCTAGAAGGCCTAGATCCTTCTGGTTTTTAATACCTACAGTAATCAGGCATTTGTTCAGCTGATTAATTCCATTTGTTATCAAGATCATATTTGAGATCTTCTTGAGTGTAAAAAGCATTGGTTTTGAAAAAGTAGATAGTACTTTGGCAAGAATAAAAAATAGTAAATTTAATAATGACTGGTAAAGCTTTCATTTTTTCTTCTAATTGTTGCAGCTTGTGCTATTACCTTTAAGAAACTTATATGATGAAGCACTTTTCAGTCAATGATTTTTTTCTCATAAACTCTACTAACTCTTGCAGAATTCTTGTGGTACAGTGGGAATTTCTTAAGCATTCTGTTCATGGAATAGCAATTACATGCTATGTCCTCATTGAGAAACAACTTTTAACTCTTCTGGTATGATAAGCCAGGAGACTGTGGTGACCACATGCTGATCCATGGAAGATACAACTTTTCAAAGTGAATCAAGCTGCAAATGGGCTTTCAGGCTATGGTGAAAACTTGGAGCTTGTTTCTGGTTCTTCTGGGTAAATTTTTGAGATTGTGTATCGGCTGCAGCTGGGGGCCATGTGCTCCAGGGAAGTCATTGCTTGGTTCTTTAACAAAGCTGAGGAAAACTGCAAAAGATTTCTCAAAGAGCAAAACAAGTAAAAGAAATACTTACCTGATAAATCTCTGTGGGGAACCAGTCCATTTTTTAAAAAAACTCTTCACTCATGGAAATCCTCTTTTCTTAGGAGTCCAACATTTTAGAAAGTGTGAGGCAATACGCTCATGCCAAGGTTATTGAGACAACCTGTAGTTGTAGTCTGGTAAGGTAAGGCTAATCATTTTCTTTCAGCCTCCTAAACGGACAGTAGTTTTCTTCTGATCCTCCCTCTTCAGTGTGAAAACACCACTAATCTGTCAACTTACCCAGTGAATTCCTTTAAAAAGAAAACAGTTTTAGCAATTTCTTTTAGGATCTCTTGTCCAGGTCAGTAAATTTGTCCTCGGGACAAGGAATAATGATATGTTGCCAGCTATTTATGTGTAATTCATCATCAGATAGTGGAATTCCCAGATAATGTCCTGGGAATTGGCATGCATTTTACTTTTGGAAAGGGGGTGTTTGGTTTGTTTGAATCTCTCTTAAATAATTACAGACTGTCTAGGAAGATGGAATGTGGTGTTCTGGTTATGTTTGATCTTTCTAAACTTTGGTGATAGAGTGTTTGAGAAAAGGATTGGTCTTGTGCATTTTGTGCTGCCTCCATGAGATGGATAGGTTTTGCACTAGAGTTTCCTTAAAAAAATACTCATGTCTCCATATGATTTACAATAAATGTTTTTCAGGCTCATCTATTTCTAACCATTGGAAGTGACAAGGGTGTGTCTCTCCCAAAATTATGGCTTTGTTCAGAGAAGTGTGTTCTTTTATTAGGAACATCAGGTTTAAATTTTCTCTTGAATACCAAGTTTGAAATGAAATCCTTACAGTTATCTGCTATTTTGAGCGCTTGCATGGGTCTACCATTCATTACAGAATGAATACTTCATTATTTTGTCATAAATTATTCTATCTTGAGATGCCAGTTTTCAAAATTTACTTACATTTTAATAGAAATTATTATTCCGTCTCACAGAATATTTTTACTTGTGCTGCAGTAAAGGTAGGCATTGTATGAATTGTATCTCAGTCCTACTATGAAGAAAGAATCTTGGTCTTTTTGGTAAATATTGAGAAGCATTTATTTTTGCTCCTCTCTTGGATACAGTGTTAGATATTGAACAGTGTCAACTGCACCAAGCAATAAAAAAACTCACACTTTAAAACAATGCTTGAATTGAGCAGCACATCTCATTTAGATTATGACAGTGGGTAAAAAAGCTGCATATTTTTCTTGTCTGCCACCTTAATAGTTTTCAAAAGACGAATGCCTGCGAAGTTGTCAAAGGTCAAGCAGCTATTTTTTGGTGTGTGTTCTAATTACAGCAGGCCATCAAAGGACCTTGAGAGATGACTGACCTGCAAAATTGAGACAATGGCTCTGTAGTTATGAAGGATGGAAATTAAGTTTAGGCAGAAGCAAATGTGCCTGAAGTGGTCACAACAGGGATATTGCCAAAATGGTTATTGATAGCACAGGAGTACATATTCTGTCTAAAGGAAAAAAAATAGCTGAAATTATGTGGGTTTTGTTGAAGTAATTGTGGTAGGCTGGTCTACTGAAGAACGAATATGATATGTTACACAGCACACTTATGCAGTAGTTTTCTTTGAAAACATACTAATAGCAATTATTTTTAATTGGAAAGACTTATGAAAAGTTAAGAGGATTTAGTAAAGATTTCTTCTTTCAGTCACATGTTAGCTGGGTTTTCTGATGGTCTGCCTTCTCTCTGTGCCTTTGCAGCTTGGCAGACCTTCACCCTCCTGCAACAGCACCAGGCCCCTGAAGTGGCTGTAGGAAATCCTTCTTTTTAAAGGGAAGCTGTAAGTTATTCCTGTGTTGTCAGTGACCCTAAGATCCTTCAGGTCCTTCTTCATTTTACATGTCATAAGTGGCAAATAGAGGTGCTAAATACAGCTGTTCTTTCTTTTTTAACCTTATGGAAGGCATCCATAAAAATCTTTTAGGCAAACTGGCACTGTACATATTGCCCAAAGCTTTGTTGTCATGAGCTCTGGGCATTCAGCTTGCCTTCAGAGCGGAAGGTAGCATTGCTGTGAGCAGAAAGCTAAAATGAGTTTGCATACTAGAAAGAAAGATTATATTCCCAGTCTCCATGATCTCTCACTGTGTCTTGAAGGACAAAAGTAGCTGAAAAAGGTATATTTAGGACAGGTTTTTGTGAAGTTTAGAAATATGTCATTTTTCATAAATATAAAATAGGCAAACCTTCAGATTTAGGGAAACTGGTAGCTTTGGATTTCAGTGCATGATATTGTTTATGAACACAGTATTAAGACAGATGATAATATTTAATAGAAGTCTCACAAAATGGCATATTGGCTAAGAGATGCCCAGAAATGGAAAGTCGTATCTGCAAAATATAGTTCCACAGGTGGCAGAATATTTTAGAATAAAAATTTTCATCTGTACCAAAAATTATTTGATCTATTAGAAAAGTAATATTTCAATGAATGCTTATAGCATAACAAGAAGGAAAAGAAATTATCAACAGGTATTTCTTTATCACTTGAAGACTGCTCTTACTGCCTTTGCTCTCCAGCCATTTAGCCAGAGGGTTACAACCCTTATAGGGAGTGTATATTACGAGCTGCAAACCCAATACTTTTGGCCTGAATATCCTGCAAAGATTCTATTTCCCCAGCATTTTTGCTTGTGGAGCCTTAGTTCTTCTGCATCCACCTGGTACAAGTCTCCCTCTTAGGAACTTGTGTTTTGATGTTAATATGGAGGAGTGGCCCACCCTTAGTAGCTGCATCTACTTCTGTGAGGCCTCAGTGTCTGTCCTCCTCCTGAGAAAGATTATAGTGTGCTTTTCTCCGATTTCAGTGTTTTGAATGATTTTGGAGGGAAGTTATAAGAACTTTCCTTCTGGTTTGAGAGGTATTTGTTACAGAACTACCAGTCGGTTGTTCTTGAAAACAATCATCCAGTTAAACATCTCTTTCCTAAGCTGAACCTTACTAATATCTGTCAGATTTTACCAGACATGGGACTAAGGAGTAGAACATAAAAGAGAAGTTAATGTTGGAGTGGGATCTGGAGAGAAGCAGTGTTGTGGGCAAGTATTTTTCCGTTTTCCAAATGTTAAGCTTCAACCACATTAATAATATTTCTACAAAAATATTACTCGGCTAACTTAAAGCAAAACTCTAGAACTCTTATATCCCACATGGCATGAAACATTCCTGTTGTTTTTTGGTTTTTTTTTTTTTTCTTGGTGTATTAACTTCTTACACAGAAAGGAAATGAATTTTAGAAAGAATGTTATACATAAACCATTTGAGACATTCTCTGTTAAGGAAATACCATCTGTCAAGAAAGATGCAGCCAATGTTGAGTTATATTAAAAACATTGTAAACTAAACATTTCTCAAGGAAAAGTGGTTTAATTAAAACATTTTAACTGTTTTTGCTCTGGAAAAAGCTTAAGAATTCTCTATATAAGCAATCTAAATGCAATCATAATAAAAGTTCAATTAATTTTTTCAGAAGGAAGTTAGCTTGGATAAGTTGTTCCTTAATGTAGAGTAAAGAAATTTTCTGACAATGTAACTAGTAGGAAAAAAAGAAAAAGAAAATACTTATGATCATTATTTTATTACCTTCAAATTCTATAGTTTGATTGATTTAATTGTTTTTTCTTGATGGACAGAATTTATTTCAAAAGGAAAATAAGTTACATTTTAGGGTTTTCATATGTATATTGTACATAAGACTGTTGGATCTTCCTTTGTTTAAGATATCCTACCTTGTCATTGGAGTGTTTTCCTTTCCTTTGTTCCTTAAAAATAATAAAATGACATTTCTTAAGTTACATGATTGCTATTAGAGATGAGCAGCTGTTATTCTCCCAGATTCTCTTCACAGTAGGCTCATGATCTTAGACTTCATTAAAATACCAACAGAAACATAAGTGACAAGTGATATATGGGCTAAGTTTTTTAATGTCACCCACATCTTATTTGAATTGACAGGATGTATTTCCATTAACACATTCTCTTTTTTTTCCCCTTAAAAAACTTGCTGTTTACCATGGCTTGTATTTTAGGAACATCTTAAAGATACAAAGAATGTGGTCTGTAGAACCCATTTTACTTGTTGCATGTGCTTGATGTTGTTTCCTGAACTGAATAAAGGATTGGAGACGATCATCTGAAGGTTTCTGTAGTTAAATGCCACTGAAGACCTGGATATTACTTTTTGCTTAAGAAGCAAGATATGTAGGATTATTAACAGTAACCACTTGTGATCCTTGTATTTGAATAGTAAGGTTCCAAACTAGACATCTATAAAATAAAGAATGCAGAGCTTTCACAGCTGCAACTGAAGCTGATAACAATTGTGAATTGTGCTTGTGATGTACTGCACAGTGACAAATATTTTGAAAAAAAAATTAGTCTGGAAACATTCCAGATTAAGCAGACACAATTCATATGCTATGTGCTGAGTTATAGGCCTTGAGTTATAAAAATACAAATAGGATCTTTTGTGAAAATAAATTACTGAAATACAACACTTTTAGATAGCAGTATAAAAAGCTTCAGATGGAAGAAAAAGGGGAAAAAAAGAGGGTCTTGCCCTAGAATTTTAATATCTAAGCACTCTACTATGGGAAGGGGAGAAAGAAATACAGAATAATTTCTTCTTCTTCACCCTGCTGTCAAGGCCTGTGGATTAGATAAGGTGGGGTTCCTGTGTGAAAGAACAAACCAGCTAGGGAACAACAGCCTTAAATCTGGTGCTTTATAATTTCTCTATGTTTCATTGCACAGCTTCAGTATCCCAGATGGTTTTTTTGAGTGGTGCTGAATCCCCTGATCTCCACTGTGAATGTACCTACCTGTATTTCCACTGAGGATCACCCCTTGCTAAATGTCATCTTCTCCCTCCTGTAAATTCTGATATTGCTGTATATGACCAAAACACTTTTTGGGCTGAAACGAATCATTATGTGTTAGATTTCCACAGAATCACTTCATCTGTAGTCTGAGACTATGAATTCCTGGCAGTCTGTTTTATTGTAGGCAAATGATAGATACCCAAGATCAATGCTGACTCCACTGAGAGGTCACTGGATTGAGTTCTTGAATATAGGATCAAGAGCACCAGAAAAAGAAATCTGTCAGTATTCTAAGCTTTCTACAAAGCCATTTACAATTGCAAATGGTTCTGCAGTTTGACTGAATTCTGCTTTATGCCTCTCATTTAAGTCTTGCTTTGGTCCAGAGTGAAATAGTTCCTTGTCTATTTACATATGCATGATTGAACACATAGGATATTGTTCAAAGAAATAAGAATAAAATAGCCTGTTCTAATTTCTTCACTCACATTCGGTAATTTTCCTCACAGTAACTTGTGAAAATTGTATTGACCATCCAGGACCACTTCTTCCAGTTTCAGGATGATACCTCTGCAGTTGAGGTGAAGGATGTTGATTGGGATGCCTTTCTCCCAAGGAATTAATACTGAACCTCTGTGCTTTGACTTTTACTGTCTAATTGGTGATAGACAGCCTTCCCTAATCTTTGTTGGCTTTCACAGTGAATTTCAGCCTCCTGAAAATGTACTTGAAGTTACTTAATGTAAATGTACCTTAGTCTTTTATGGTATTTAGAATGGGACAAAGCTGACTTGATGAATTGGCAGACATTTTTGCAGTTGATAACTTGGAGAGATGCATTTTGAATGAGGTGTGAAGCTTAGAGTTTTAAATTTATCAGACTTTACCTTATTTGGTAATCAGTTCAATCTTTTTCAGCCTTTGATGGAGGGTACAGTGATCGCCTTTATTGGTACATCTGATAACAAATTACAATTAATGCCTTGAATTCCCTGCTAGTGGTAAAAGATAATATTCCTCTATGCACCAAGTACACTTTGAGGGGAAAAAGTGTTAATATTTCTTAAGGATATTTCTGCATAATGGAATGTGACTAAACGATGCTATCAAAATGTGTAACAGCTTTACAGAAATTGCATCTACCGGTTGTAGATGTTATTTTATAAGGTATCTTACAGTTGACTTGAGGTGGTTTGTAATGTATAGAAAAACCTACTTGCAGCTTGAAAGAATCAATTCTGATATCTCTTAATGTAATTTCCCATTTATATGCTTGATATCTCTATCTGACAGTATAGAAGCGAGAGATAGAAAGTTATAAAGAGAAATTATTTGACTAGATAAAGTGTTATGGGAGAGTTCATGTTGAGTCCCATTAGCTGTGGGTTGTGTTGTACTGCAGCCAGACATTTTAAAATACTTTAAATCCCTAATGTTCCTGAACAACTGGAGGAGAATCCTGTTCTAATATTCCTTCTAAAAGGGATTATTATTTATTTTTGTTGTAGTTTGGTCTAAGAATTTCAGTGAAGTATCAGGAAATTATTATATTTTTCCTTAGTGACTCATGCATTCAAACCTGATTTGAAGCTTGGAATCTGTTACCAGTAAAAAAGACTTATAAATATGCTGTTACAGGTTTTAGTTCACTTTCAATTTTTTATTTTCCATAATATACGTAAAATCCCTTTTCTTGCTTGCTCTCTTGCCATTAATCTCTTTCCTCTTTGCTACAGTGTTAGTTATTAAAAATTCTGACATCCTCAGAAATGCTCATCACATAATGTCTCATTTTCTTTGTTACATCCCTTTTTCATACTGCAGATTACTGTAAATTGCTCTGGAAGCATTATGAAAGAATAATGGCTTTTTATAAATAAGTGTAAAGGAGCTTGCAGTTATTGCTTATGTCTTCTAGTCTGCCTAGGTATTTGGTCCCCTTACCAAAATGTGGAGGGA